TTTTTTTGCTTTTTCAAATACGCAGAATAAGTGCCATGCTAAAACTTTGACATAAAACAAAGAAATAGCAAGTGAATAGAAAGATTGGAGTTTCAGTGCTTAAGCGTTGGCGGGCACTTTAATTAAATATAAAAAGTGGGTCTATTAGCAGTTTAATGAGTGTATTCAAATCATTTCTACTGATTTTATTCTTACCCTATCTGGGAATCTGAAATGTGTTTTTTAACTTGTGAACAGAACCAAATTAAAACCACTAAAAGCTTGAATCTTATTGATTGTTTAGACAAACATGTCTCAGTTACTTGCTAATTCACAACAGTGCTTCAAAATGACTTGAAACATTGAACTTTGTTAAGGTCTCTTAACTTTTTAAAGCCAGCATGGGTCTTTATTGCATTAATGTGTTGTTAATGTGAAGTTAGTATTAACTGTTTGTGTAATGAGCCATTTCAATTTACAGCATGTAAATCGATGTTGCTAAATGATGCCAGTAATATTTCCTGTTCACTTAGACCCCTTGAATATTTAATCTCAGTGAGACCAAATGGTAAAATTAAAAAGCCATTACTATGTGAAAGCAAGAAATATTTTCTCCAGGACTTAATGTGCTGAAAGTACACCATGTCAAGTGAGCGGTTTCTTCCTGCAGGTACTCCGAGCGCAGCAATACCAAGTGTGTAGGGATCACTATAGAGACGCGGCCGGATTATTGCCTGAAGCGCCACCTGAGCGACATGCTGAGMTACGGCTGCACTCGACTGGAGATCGGCGTGCAGAGTGTGTATGAAGATGTGGCCCGTGACACCAACAGGTTAGTGTCTCTACAAAAACAAACAGAAATAGTTAATCATGATATAAAAACGTGTTTTAAAAAAGTAATGAATAGATTTTTTTTCGTCATAATGCAGTCTGAATATGTCTTTCTATGTGTTTTTTTTTCCAGAGGCCACACAGTGCGAGCTGTGTGTGAGTCGTTTCAGCTGGCAAAGGATGCTGGCTTCAAAGTAGTCTCCCATATGATGCCAGACCTGCCAAACGTGGGCATGGAGCGGGACGTGGAGCAGTTCATTGTAAGCATGCTTTTTTTTTTTTTTTTTTTTGTACAACTAGTTTTAAGACTGAAACACAACAAATCTGGTTGTATTAACCCGAAAGCACCAAAACATTTCAGGAGTGAAGGGAAATCAGATCAATATAAAAGTTTCATTTTAGGACAGGCTTGGCCCAGTGGGGAGGGTGTCTTATTCTGGAGACAATCACAACCGCTCACAAACAGGTGTTCTGATCCGGGGGGGGTTCTGACTGGTCACTGAGTGTGTATATATATCTGTGTGTATATATCTACAGTATGCATGAATGAATGTATATCTATCTATCTATCTATCTATCTATCTATCTATCTATCTATCTATCTATCTATCTATCTATCTATCTATCTATC